TTCTTTGTGTAACATAACAACTGTTATAATTAAAGATTACAATTCAATTATTGTAAATAAACTTTAAAAAAAATTCAACATATAATAAAAGTTATAATTAAACTTCTAACATCACGATCATGTCATAACAATATTCTCTAAGACCTATGAAAAAAATTGTACATAAATTAGTTTGATTAAAATTATAAATTAAATTATATACTATATATCTCAAAACAAATATGTAGACATTTGACCTCATCATCAAAATCTTTTTCATATTTTTGCAAACGTTTGTCTTCCAAGTCTATATATTATTTTAGTTTAGTAATATCAATAGAAACTAAATGACAAGAAAATGAATGATTAAACAACCCAAATTAATAATTAAAACAAAAAAATTTAAAAAAAATTTAAATAACAAATTTTAATCATTCATTATCTTTTTGGTTGTGTTTCAATCAACTTTATGCACACATAAGTGCCTCTAGAATAAATTCATAGAGCCTAAAATGATGAAAACTTAAAAATATAACTCTTGTGCTAAATGCAAATTTTGAAGCTACAACTGAAATTAAGATTACCAAAATATCCTTAGTATTTTTTTTTTTGAAAAATTCGATATTTGATCCCATTTATTTTTTACCATCCAAGAATGTCAAAAGTAGCAGTCATAGGCAAAACATTTTCTTTTAAGTAGAACTATATTTTAGACTTTGTTTGTGTTTCAATTGTATCTGTTGGAAAAAAAGATACACACTAGAAGGAGGAGGATTGAATAGTGTATATAAAAAAAAAACTTGCCCTTTTAAAGTGCAGCAAAAATGGTAGAAGCTGTGATAGATGAAGTACTGGAAATCAATAGACGAAGTGACACAAGTGTTTATATTAGTTTGTCTCAAACACAGGGACTACATCCAGTTCTCAATCAAACCAGATTGAGTTCCACTATCTTGTACAAGATACAAGTATTCTTTCATAAGCCACTTCTAACTCAACACCAAGTATTCTTTCAACAAATCTCTTTAGGCTCAATTATAAGTATTCTTTCAATAAGCCTCTCTAGGCTTAATCCCAAGTATTTTTTCAACAAGCCTCACTAGGCTCAATCCCAAGTATTCTTTCAACAAGCCTTTCTAGGCTCAAAACTGAGTATTCTTTTGCACAAACCTCTCTAGGCTTCAACCTTTACAAATAAATTTGACAAGAGTTACAGTGATAGTTTTATCTCTTCGAGAGGTGATGTTATTAAACATGCATAAAAAATTTAAAAAGAACTATTTACAAGAATTTCAATGAAAATTTTCTTTATAGTGCTTCAGCTCTATAAGTTCAGTAAACTTCTAAGTGATGATTTTTCTATTTACAACACTTCTCTATTTTATTTGTAATGCCTCTGTCATTTTTTGTTTGAAGGCTTGACCCTTGTATAGTAGCTTTAGAGAAGATGACCATTATAGCAACATTGGATTTAAACATTGAAATTTCTTCACAATTATAAGTTGCTTTGTCTGTCTTCCTTGTTGATTCTAGAGATTACTGTTGATGCATTTAATAGAAACATTAAATGTTTATCTGTGAAATGTGTATTTCTTATTTGATCCAGACAGCTACTTATCACCATTTCCTTCTATTTTGAGCGTAATAGAAATAGTGTTAGAGCAGAGCAGTTGAGGTTTGCGTACAACAATATTTGCAGTGTCTTTTCTGTGAAATCCTAGATTTTTCTCTTACTTTTCTGATGCAATGATTTGACATTTCCTTTTGAAAACTTTTGTTATCTTTGAGAAAGCTTTTTCATTTGATCTATCAAGGAATAAAGAGTTAATGCTTCTTAAAGATTGTTTTGTTATTTTAACAAGAAATACATGTGGCATTAATCCAGATGATACGCTTTGTCTAGTGCTCTTCGTCTTACAAATGAAATATGACATTTGCTTCGTCTAAAATAGTCACCTAAAAAAATTTGTTTGTTATCATAAAAAATAATAGGTACTCAATGGATTCAAGATCGTATTTTTATTCTACATACTTTCTTTTTTATCTTACAATATCTTTCACAAATGAGTCATAATCACTAAGAAAATTCCTAATATTTTGATTATCTAAGTTTGACTCATTAACATTTGCTTGTGAAGTTGAACTTTCCACTATTCTCTTAGCTTTAGTTTGATACTTTCAAACAATTAGTAGCATAATTTTTAGATATTGTTAATTTCAATTAAAGATAAGCGACCATAAAGCTTAAGAAAAAAATATTCCAACAACTTCAACTTGTATCTTGAATTTAAAATAATAGTTATATTATTAATATATATATATATATATATATATAATTGTGGGGCGAGACGAGTTGAGTATCATAGTACACATACCCACACTTGTATCCATACCCATTAAATTTTACGGGTCTATAACTACCCTGTACCTATCCCCATATAAATGAGTATTTACTCACCCTACATAAAGATATTTTTGCGGGTATCCATAAGGTCCGGGCTCATTTTACCACTCCTAACATGTTAGACTTATTCTTGTCCACACCTATCCAAATTGTTTATTGGTTCCTTTTTTAAAGCTCAAGTTTGACTTGATAAAGACTTGAAAATATACGAGATAATGTCGAGTTGATCAACAATGTTACACTACATTAGTTTTACAATTATGTATTGTTAAATTATAAAATATAAAAAGTACCCTTGACTTGTCTGTAACTTATGAACATGCAAGGTTTTTAAAATATAAAATCTCCTAAGCAGTCTTTCACTAGAATTTACCTTAAAGCATGTTTGGATAGAGAATTGAATAGAGTAATTCATTTTTTTTTTTTTGAAGAATTTCAAATGTCTTAGGGTGAAATGATTTGTTTGGATGAAAAATTTAAAAAGAATTTAAAATTTAAATATTTATGGAATTTCTCGAAATAATATAATTTCAAATTTTCTAAAATAAAAATTAGAATTTAAAATTTTTCATATTTTTTATATAAAATTTAATCTTAAAATCTCTCTATCTCTCTCTTTCTATATATATATATATATAATCATATTTATCATGGTATAAATCAAACTTTAAAATTTTAAAAATTTGAATTGACTTATTCAAACAAAATATTTAAAAGAATGAATGAAATTGAAATAAAAGTAATTCAAATTTTAAGAATGTCAAATTCCTTGAATTTCTAAATTTTCTCATCTAAACACATTATTAAAGAAAAGTATGTTTTGTTATTCTTAAACTTTTACTCACATTAATTCAGAAAAAAAATAAATACTCCTTATCTACTTGTTTCATTACAACAACTAACCAATATTTGCAATTTTAAGGAGCTTAGTTGCAATTATGTCAACAATACAATGCCTAAAGAATGGGAATGTTGTACTTGTTTCATCCATTTTCCCAAACATATATATTTTACTAATTGAACAAGAAGCTAAAGCTAATGCATGCCAAGATTTTTCACATTTTCTCACTCTCATTTGCGATACAAAAAACCTCTGAATCTGAAACTAGTCATGTGAATCCTCTTTCCTCTACTCGCTTTCCTACGGTATACAAACAGAGTCATTTAGATTCCACGTTGCAATCCTGGTTGCATAATCATTACATAATATTCTAAGGACCAAAATTTCTACTCGTGTCATGAGGTTATGACATTTTTCTTTTGCTCTAAGAATATTTTTTCTGTTTTCTTTTTCTTCAGCTTATTTTGGATGAAATTGCTTTACAGATACCTCAGATTTAACAAATTAGGAAGATAAATTCCTAGCAGCTGAAAAATGACAGGTTATATGTAAGTAGTGTTGTTCAGTTTTATTTTCTGCAACTTCCATAGAGCAATGCTTTAACACTCTCTCATAGAGAGAAAATTTCACACTGGTTCCACAAATAATAAAACTAGGTTCACTGTCTTTTCAGTGAGGCCTACATAATAATATTTACTTGGTAATGCATTGGAAAGAATTAATGTGTTCAAATATATGTTGCTACTAATATTTTTTACATATATATTTGAGACTTAATTGGCTGTATTTTTCATTAACTGTCAAAACTTAGTACTAACCTCAAAGGAACAGGCGGAGTGCACAGGTGTTGAAGGAAACTCTATTCATATTACTTATTAAAAGAATTGAAACAGAACAATGCCATTAATTTTTAATTTCAACAAAAGAAAGTACTCAGAAAAATCTAAGAGTCTATGTTTTTTCTAATTCCTGCATTTGTTGTAACTAATTCCTGGCCCACATTATTCCTATAGCCCCTAAGTCGAGTGACTCAGCTTCCACAAGGCCTATCCTAGTTGCTTGAATTCTTACATTATGCTCTAAGGAGCAAAACTTCTACCTGTCACTTGAAAGTTAATACATTCTTTTTTCCTGTTCTAAGGATATTTTACTGTTTTCATTTTCTTCAGCTTATTCTCTGTTTGAAATTGTTTTTACATAGACCTCAGCTGTTGCAAATTAATTGGATGAGTACTAGTATAACGTAAGAATGACAGATTATATGCAAGTACTAAGCAGTATTGTTCGGTATTATCTTCTGAAACTTTCATGTATCAATGTTTCGATACTTTCATAATGGGAAAATTGCACACTGGTTCCACAAATAATAAAATTAGGTCCACTCTCTTCTAAGTGAGGTCTACATAATAATATTTACTCAGTAATGTTTTGAAAGGATGTGTCAAATATATGTTGTTACTAACGTTTCTTATCAAAGCAAAGTACAAACCTAGAAGGATCAAGCAAAATTTGCAGTATAGGTGTCGAAGAAAACACTTCATATTACTTAAGTAAAGAATTGAAACAGAACAAAACTAAAGAGAACAGTTCCATTAGTTATATTTTCAACAAAAGAAAGTACAGCATAAAAATCTAAAGTCTCTATATCTATATTATCTCTACATCGCTTGACCAACAAACATATTGAATACAGTAATAAACCATTTGACATATGTATATATACATACGTGATAGGTAATTAAAAAGATTGTATGAGAAAAAAGATGAACTAGTCACAGATTGAGAAGAGGTTTCATAAGCTGTGCGGCTGGTCTGCATGTTATTGTGATATGCAGAAATAATAAAAGGGTGGTTGAGAAGCATTGCAGCAGTGGATCTGCGGGTAGGATTCTTGACAAAACACTTGCCCAAAAAATCTTTACAAACCCAACTTAGTCCATCAGGTATTGGTGGGGCTTCTTTGTGTAATAAAAGCTTCAACATTAGTTCCTCTTGGTTTTCAATATTCCTCCATGCATCCATTCCAGTGATCATTTCAATCACAATACATCCAAGAGACCATATATCCAATGCAGTTCCAATCACACCAATAACTGATTCTGGTGACATGTAATAAGGTGTGCCTCTAAATTTCATCTTTCTAAGCCTAAACTCAGCTTTTGCCTCTTTTCTAGTCTTGGCCAATCCAAAATCAGCAATTTTCACTTGATACCATGTCTCACTCTTCCATGTTGGAAACAGAAGAATGTTGTCTGGTTTCAGATCACAATGAACAACTTCTTTTTCATGAATACAATGAAGTCCTTTCAAAAGCATATGCGTGTAAATTCTTACTGTATCCTCAGATATTGCTCCTCTCTTCCTAATTAATTCACCAAGAGAACCATAAGGAGCAAGTTCCATGAAAAGATTGTAGGAGACATATTTCTCAACAGCATATTGATCAAAATAACATTGAATGATTTCTTTGCAACCCTTGAATAACTCCAGTATTTTCTTTTCCTTCTTCAGCGAAGCAATTGAGTAAGAGAGATGACTTGAACTCTTCACAGCTACAATCTTCCGATTTGATTCGTCTGGAAAATCCAAAGCAATAAGATAAACAGTAGCATATGACCCACTCCCTAGAGTTGCCAACTTCTTCCATGTAGCCATGTATTGCTGTTTTTCCTTTGTTTGAGAATCGTATACCTCAGGTAATTCTTCAATTTCTTCCGTATGTAAGTATGTTAATCACCTAAATCTTTGAATATTATCTTGTTCTGCAAGATTTTAAATTAGGTAATTAAAGATTAACTTCCAGTGATAAGATATACTTATCACTAATTGTATTGGCGGGAATAATAAGGATACAAGATTAGAATTTAGTCCGTTCATTATAAGGATACAAGATTTACAAGGTGTGCAGATTTGGATATCATTCTATTTTCTCATATTCTATTTTTCTCATAATCTTTAATACTTAAAAAAAAAACATGGGATGACCATGGTGTACAGACAGTACAGTTTTGAATAACCACAATAATACCAGGTAAATTAAATTGATTTGAATTTCAGATTTCAAAAAGATTTATTTTTTTTATCAAATATATTTCAAAAAATAAGTTACCAAAATATTATATCTTCAGATCGTCATATTAGTTTACGCTTCGCAATCAAGTTTGTTATTTTTTTTTAATAACTAATATATTATCATTAATTTAATATAAGTGAAAAAAAACTTTAATTTAATATACAGTGCTAATTTAGATTATAAATAAATAACTATGTATATTTATATTAAAAGATATCTATTTTAATAAGTAATAGATTTATTTTATCCAATAACTTTTATTTTATATCAAATTATGATAATTATACCATTAAATTAAAAGTTGTTAATCATATTAAATAACTATTTATTATATAATTTTAAATTAATATATAAAATATTTTTATAATTATATATATATATATATATATATTATTAAATGAAATAATTCTATCAAAACTAAATATCTCCTATATATTATATTCACGTTAATCTCCTAAAACTTTGAATATTGTTTTGCTCTTCAAGATATAAAATTATGTTATCATAATAGATATGATTATGATAATGCACTGTAAAGATATGCTGATCACTAATCGTAATCGTGTCGGCGAGAATATTTTGAAATTATAATTTAGTCTTGGGATGATTTTGCTGGTTAGTAAACCCATGTAAATATTTGGGTACAATTTTTCACTTAGGTAATTAAAAGATTAATCAAGTAATAGAAATTAGAAGTTAGTTTAGTAATGACATTTATTAATTATTTGAACAATAATACACTATTTCTAATTTTAATTATAAAAAATAAATTGTTTTTTTTAATTATAAGTAATAATCAATAATTTTTAAAGTTATTTAGGATAGATTTTATTTATATCCTTAATTTATCGTTAATTTTATTTCCTGTATATTAACTTACTCTCCATTCATTAGACTATAAGTATTGATATTATATATAATAATCACTTAAAGTAAAATGTATTTTTGAAATAAAATTGAATTTAAAGTAAAATTAATCAAAAATAAATAATTTAATTAAGTTTAGTTTCGAAAAAGTCGATGTTATTCTTTAAATATAGAGTCAATTTTTCTAATACTAACATAAATTAAGTTTAGTGTCGGATGCTATATATAAAGAATAGCGACTTTTCTGACACTTCAGAAAAGTCGACGTTACATCTTAGATTGATTGACAATATTTGCATAAGCTATTAACCGACACTTATTTTCTGTATATATTTCAATGTTTTCTTGTAGTGTATAGAGAGAGATGAAGGATTCACTTAATCTAATAATAAGTTTACCAAGACTTGTCTTATTCAATAACTCATGTTTTACATTAAATTTCAATAATCTAACTGATGAATTAAAAAAATTTAATACATATATAGATGAAGTTTGAAAATTTTTAAAAATTTTGAAAACTATTTAATGCTCCATTTTATTATATCAAATCAACAAATAAAATGTTTTTATGATTACTCATATCAATTTGAATTAATGAAAGAGAGTATCAAATATTTTCAAAATTTTTAAAACTTTATAGATTTAATCTATACATTAAGAACCTTTAAATTTAAAAAATTTAATATAAAACATAAGTTATTGAGTGAAATAAGTCAAAGTAATTTTATTTTTGCAATAAGTGGATCCCTTCTCATATATTTATATATATATATATAAGTAATTTGATTTATAATCTTTTAATCTGAATTGTTTATTTTAATCTAATGGTTATTATCAATATATAGTTTTAAAAGATTAAAATAAATATTTTAATCAAATTAGATTAAAATAAATAATTCAAATTAAAAGATTATAACACAAGTATATATATATATATATATATATATATATATATATATAAGATTATAAATCAAATTACTGCATACGACCACCAACATCCATAGTGATTGACCATGGGCTAAGGGCCCAATTACTGTAGCTATGGCTAGGAGCATACAGGAAGGGGTGGAAAGCTTGAAGGTTAGTGGGCTCTCTAAGCCCAAGGTAATCTTCACGTGGACCACCATATCTTAAAGAGAAGGCTTTAGTCCATTTGTACATAGTTTCTTGTATAGATTCATTTTTTCCTTTATATTTGTGAGACACCTTATTTCTTTCTTTGTAGCATGTTCTATTGTGTATTTAGGGTAGGTTTCTTGGAGACTTTTTCTCTATTTGACCTTGTATTAAAGGTCATCCATTTTTACATTTTTCAGTAGTAGAAGTGGGTAGCAATTAGCAAGCTATGAAGGTGTAATTAGTAAATGGGTCAGAGTTGGGCCTAGGCCAATTTTTACATATTGGGCTTGTTTTGCTTAATATTTTTCAAGGAATTGATTTAGCTAGGCCTCACCATCATTTGGTGAACCTAACTAAACCAATTCCAAATTATTTGGATTGAACAAGTATGGAAAACTAGCCCATAGCCGCCTATCCCTCTCTTTGGCTGGATTTGCTTTTCACCTTTGGCACCTTTGGGAAGTTTGTGTTATAAGCTTCTAGCTTAGCTTGCTTCTCAAGATACTAAGTTAGAAGCTTGCTCCACAAGCCTCCCAAACCATGGTGGATGGTCAAACTAAGCCAACCATGGTTCTCTTGAACCATGGTTAAGCTTATCTTGCTCCACAAGCTTCCCTGCTCTATATAAACCTATTCCTACCATTTGTAATGATCACTTTTAAATTTATGAGATTAGAATTTTTACTAAATTCTCTCTACTTCAAGAGTTCTAAACCGTGGAGAATCACTACAAGAAAAATCAAGATTATCTACGGAAAAATCTGTAGATAAACATAAAAATCCGTAGATAAATGTCAATTATCTACGAATTATCTATGGGAAAAAATCAGTAAATAAAATGATCGTAGATAATGTTATCTACGAAATTTTCCGTAGATAATATTATCTATGGAATTTTCCATAGATAACTCACGAAAGTTGTTATCTACGAATTTTATCCGTAGATAACTTTCAGGAAATTTTTTATTTAATTTTAATAAATTTATTAATGTAATAACCCTCATATTTGGTCTCTCAAGGATGCTATTTCAGTACACTTCACTTTTTAACATGTTTTGTCCTTATTAATTATTTGAACAATGTACACTACTTTAATTTTAATTATAAAAAATAAATTTTTTTTTTAATTATAAGTAATAATCAATAATTTTTAAAGTTATTTAGGATAGATTTCATTTATATCCTTAATTTATCGTTAATTTTATTTCCTGTATATTTACTTACTCTCCATTCATTAGATTATAAGTAATGATATTATATATAATAATCACTTAAAGTAAAATGTATTTTTGAAATAAAATTGACTAACATGTGAATTATTCTTTATTATTATCCGTACTGTGGAACCGAACTTGAGCTCGGCACTAAAGCGCTAGACGACATCGGATGAGCGTTATGAGACATCGGCCAAAACAAAGGTCCACTATCTGAACAGGTCATAACTGATCTCAGGCCCAAGGCCCAGATAAATCCTAATTCCTATCAAGGTATGTGCATTATATATATGAGACTCATACACCCACATATACTAATTTTAGCATCGGAGTCTCTTTTGCAGGTACCACCCCCACTTCGGAACAGCCGACGTACCCGGCGAAGGAGACTCACTAATCTTATCCAGCAGATTATCCCCTACAACCGATCTCCAGTAAGAACATGTATAATATTAGATTCTCTCTAGACTCATACATAAATGAAAAAATATTTAGAATTATATAAACAAATTCTAATTAACTTGATCACTCATTTAAAAAATATCGCTTAAATTAAATATGATTACTATTTCCAATAAATATTACTAAAACTAGCTTAGAAAGTAAAATTTAGCCTTTAGAAATCAATAAAATTTAATAAAATTAACTAATTTTCTTAATATATGCGAACTTAAATATTTTTTTAATTATATATGAGTCCAAAAGGATAATTATTTCACAAATGGATGTAAAATCTTCTACAATATAATATATATCTATAAAATTGATTTGTTAAAATGAATTTTATATTTCAGTTTCATAAACATGTATGTGGAAGAAAAAAATTATAGCTTCAACTACTTAGAAATAAAAGTAAACAAATTATTATAAAAAAATTTAAGTTATTTTTGTAAAAATTAAATAATTTATTATATATATATATATATTAATTTGTAACTACATAATAATATAAAAACAAAAATTATTTTCTCTTTGTATTTTCTAATTAATATTTATTTTATAGAAACTAAAGAAATCGAAATACTTCATACCTCTAATAGTTACAGATAGACAGAATATTAGAAGGTTGCGTGTAATTATTCTAAAAGAATATAAGTTCTTTTTTTATATCTAAGGGATATAATAGTCCACTAAAAAGTGGAGATAAAAAATGATTACTTATCCCAATATTCTCTTTATAATCCATGCCTCTAATAGTTATAGACAGGATATTAGAAGGTTAAGTATAGTTATTTAAAAGGAATATAATTTTTTTTTATATCTAAGAGATATAATAATTCACTAAAAAGTGGAAATTAAAGAAGACTACTTATCCCATTATCCTCTTTATAACATGTATATAATATTAAACAATGTATGTAATTCATGTTTGGTCCTTTTATCTGTGATTGTTTTTTCAATACCAAGTAAAAAATATTGGTACTGGTGTTTACGGTGGAATTTGTTTTATGGAATTTGTTTTATGGATTCTTTTTACTCGAACTAGCACGACAGGCGTTTCAATTTAAGCATGTTATGTTATTATGCAATTTCATCAGACAAGAAAGAACGGAGTGAAGAATTAATAGTTACTTGTTTCTAAACATTCATCTATAATTAACAAGTAATAATTTTCATGCATGTAAACGCTAAGATGAACATAATGGAAAATGTATATTCGCAATACAAATCATGTTCAAGTTGCATAATATCAAAGTATTACAGCGTCAAAGCACAGCAATTACTAAGTGATTACAAGAAGCAAAGAGAACTATACTAACACTACTCCTAAAAAGAGAAAAGAACAATGGCCGAGAAGTAATCATACCCAAAAACAATTCCTTGCACGAAAACCATATGCGCAGGCAGAGAGTGCTTCAGAGCTTAATTCTAATATGAAAATTCCGACCTAGTAAAAGGCCAACTTTTGCCTATTTATAGAAATTTTCGAGAGCAGTTTTCTTTTGCGTGTATGCGTCATGGGTGGGTAACTGCTCTCCATATCAGCTACGTGCTTATAACTTCCAATAACTGCTTATCCCACGTGTCTTTATCTCTTCGATTTATCTTTTAGTAACCGCTCTGGCATAACTACCTAATTGTTTTGGGATAGCCTCAGAAAACCTTCATCTATTTTCGAGTAGTCCTTATTTTTTATTCGACCATACCTCGAGCACAAACAAATAGGACTCCTCATACGTTTTCAACATGTGTTGATTTGACGTTTATATTTCTCTCGAGTAGCACTGTCAATACAACTTTTCGATTCTTATGATTTTCGAGTAGTCTCAACAACTGGTATTCCATTCTTATAAATATATATATATATAAAAAAAGTACCCTAGAACTCCTGGCAATTTAATCTTCGAGAAATTCAATAATGGCAAAAAGCATATTTACTTTTTAATTTTTGATAAAAGCAAAACATCTTCATTCGTTAACCTGTTTTGTCCCTTTCGTTGCGTGTTCAACTCTTCCTACTGGCCATGTCCCCATGACTTTAATACTAGCTAGTACTAAAAGTTTACCATATAATATAATATGTCATATAAACACCACCCATCTCTATTTGTACTACCTTACCCATCAGAAATTACTATTCTTGTCCCATCAGAAAATAATGATGGGTGCTTTCTCTGGTTTTCCTCTTCTTTTCCTTCTCCCTCTTTGCTTCACTCCGTTTGCTTTTGGAGCCACTTTGCCACAAGATGAAGGTAGTAATCATATACTTAGAGCTCATTTTAATATAAGATATAAGTGTTATCAAGTAGAAAAACTCTCAAAAAAATACTTTTACACCATCTTTGTGAATTAGTCTCGTTCTTGCTTTGATTTGTGTTGGAGTTTGGTTATATATGTAGTTGATGGAGTTGATTAATAATTGTATATTTGTACTTGTGTGATTAGTGAAAGCTCTGAGAGACATAGGAAACATAATTGGGAAGAAGAATTGGGACTTCAGCGTAGATCCATGTAGTGGAAAGAGTAATTGGACATGGTCCTTTCAATTGCAAGGTTCACAAACACAAAATGGTGTCACTTGCAATTGTTCCTTTCTCAATCACACTGTTTGTCATGTCGTTGCCATGTAACTCTCTCTCTCTCTCTGTGTCTCGAGTTCGAATAATTTTGTTAGTCTTACTCACCTAAATGTTTCAACCAGTAATAAGTTAGATGATAAATATTCAGAGTCCAAAAGAAGTGGCGAATAGCTTACAGAATTTTCTTCATTAAAAATAAAAGGCTTACAGAAAAACGTGTTGACTAAAACTAAATACTAGTTATAATTTATAAAATATTTTTGCGTTCGAAAAGTGAAAAGTAGTATCTCTTCGTGTCAAAACTCAAAATCAAAGCAAATTCATAAATTAAAATATGTATAAAAAATCATAAATTGAAAATGATATCGAACCAACCGTGATAATGATATTATTAATCTTAACAGCGTAGACTCAGGTCAACAGAAAAACAGGGGAGCGTCAATAAATACTCATATTTTATATTTCATGCAATAGTAGAACGTGATACCTTTTTTTAATTTAATGTAATAAACAAAACTTTCGGAAATTCCACATATATCCTTTAAATTTTAGGTAAAAAAACATTAGTCATTCTTTAACAGGAAATCTCTGATTTGATTGGGTATGAATCCGAGTATGAATAACATATGAGACATCAAACCGCGTACAGGCGGGTATATATAGACATCAAGCCTATATATATATATATATGAGATAGGTTCAAACGATATGAGTATAATCTTTATTAAGAGTTACACCGCTCAATAACTTTAAATTAAATGTGAATTTTGTAAAATTAAATGTGAATTTTGTAAATTTAACCCTTAGATTGAAAATTCATATCACTTTATATGTGTATATCAAATTTTATTAAAATTGAACAACAACTTGAAGGTAATCAAAGTGTTCATATTTTAGTATATTTTGAAATGTATATATTACGTTAATTTTGTTTTATAAGAATGAAGTATCAAATCATCTTAGATTAATGTAAAATTTTATATATGATCTAAGAGATTGAAAGTTCATATCTCTTAGATCATATATAAAATTTTACATTAATCTAAGATGATTTGATACTTCATTCTTATAAAATAAAATTAACGTAATATATACATTTCAAAATATACTAAAATATGAACACTTTGATTACCTTCAAGTTGTTGTTCAATTTTAACAAAATTTGACATATATGATCTAAGAGATATGAACTTTCAATCTAACGGTTGAATTTTCAAAATTTACATTTAATATAAAGTTATTGAGCGGTGTAACACTTAGTAAAAGTTACACCGGTGTCGTTTGAACCCACCTCTATATATATATATATATATATACCCGTTCCCGTACTTATATCTATATCTACTTTAAATTTCTAAAAATTTAGTTTATTTTTTTAAAAATTTACTTGATATTTATGTAGTTTTTATTTTATTTTAAATTTCTGTTAAATAAAATTTAATTATATAATTTTGTAATTATTATATGTTAAAATTTTATTTTATTTATTTTTTTTAAATGTTTTATTACTTTTTTAAATGGATATAGATATATCGGATATGAGACCTGTATACCTAATATGTGATAGAAATAGGAATGGGAACACAAATTTCATATTCGCTTGATATAGATATACGAATACAAATTTCATACCTGTGCGATATGAGTATGGGATTTGGGAACGGGGACGGGATAGTAAAAAAAGTGTACTGGTCAGGTTTATGGACTTCTACAATCTGCATTGACAAATTCATGGTTTTTAATGGTTATACAGCGTTTTAAAAGCACAAAATCTTTCGGGTACTGTCCCACCGGAGCTTGTCAGGTTGCCTTATCTCCAAGAAATGTATGTTTCTTGCAATCTCACTGTTATAATCTATACTTTCATTCACTTGTATTTGATTCATTAATTCTTTCTTTTTGTTGCAGTGACTTCACCCTCAACTACCTTAATGGTACAATTCCTAAACAATTGGGAACCTTAAACCTTGTCAACATGTAATTTATTACTCTTTTTCCTTTGGTTGCACACTTACTGTTAATTTTGCTTCCTCGAGCATCAATGGCCCAATCTAAATCATTCTAAAATAAATAGTATTTAATTAGATTCTCTTTAGGACAATCACTAGCATCGACTTGGTGATAGGGGTTGAGATTCTTAAGAAAGTGAAATTTAGAGCCTAATTTAATCTTACAATACCGGTTTATAAGGTGAGAGTTATTCCTATCTCTAGTTGATATGAGATTTTTAAGAGTGATTTGCATATACAGGATTTTTGGTTCAAACCATGTTATTATTGTAATTCCTACCAAGTAAAACAAATGATTCTCTTCAAGATAGATTTAAGGAAAATAGGTTTTCATTTTTGTATGTTTCATATTTTTTATTCGTTAATTTGTTATCTTGTATTTATTTCCCAAAACATGAATGGTGAATCTAATTGTACAATTTTTCATTTGGCAAGTTCCTTTTATGGAAACCGTCTAACTGGTCCAATCCCAAAGGAGCTTGGAAACATCACCACTCTCAAAAGTTTGTAAGTTTCTTTTCTGATTTTATATATATTACAGTTTGACCCTTTTTGTTATTTCTTCTTGTTTTGTGTAAGTTTAGAGGAACTTAATTTAAAGTGGACAGGGTATTGGAGTTCAATGAACTATCTGGAAATCTTCCTCCAGAGCTTGGGAATCTTATTCAGATTGAAAGACTGTAAGCCATTTTATGAATAGTCTCTGTATCAATTTTATTTTGGTTGATTGATCTTAATTTCTGAAACTAAATATAGATTATTTGCTGTCCCTTCAGGCATCTAACCTCCAACTATTTCACTGGAGAGTTACCTGCAACATTGGCTAGGCTCACAACATTGAAGCACGTGTAAGCTTCTTGCTTTTGATGTGCTAGATATTATTTGACCCTCACAATGCATAGGCGTTATCTCTTAATTAACATGAAATTCAGCTTTATTTGGAAGAGTTGGGGTGATAAGGATCAAATGCTTAACCATTAGGTTATAGAGGTTTTGATACCATATCGAGAACCAACTCTTCTGACACATTAGGAAGTTAGTTGAATGGTTATGTTTGGTTTTGTAACTCTGACATAATTAGCTTATATTTGTGGCTTGCCCTCCTACAATGCAGTCGTATTGGTGGCAATCAATTCTCTGGAGCAATACCCAATTTTATACAGAGCTGGATAAATCTCGAGATACTGTGTGATTATTTTTTTCCTCCTTTTTTAATGAACATAAGTTGTTTTAAATTTTTTTTACATATTTTCAACTTATCCATACCATTTTTTTCCAAAAATATTTTCAGTGTAATGCAAGGGAGTGGTTTGAGTGGGCCAATTCCTCCTGGCATTTCAATTTTGAGAAACCTTACTGACCTGTAAGTATGTTGCCTTCTAATGAAACCAGTGTTTCAATAACATGCTTTTTTATCTTGTGATTTAAGTGTTTAAAATATGATATGCAGGAGGGTTACCGACTTGAATGGATCTGTTTCGTCATTTCCACAACTTAATAATATGACGAATTTGGAAATACTGTGAGTCAGATGATCAGATGATCAGATTATGATTATTAATACCTTACTAAGAAAACGCTTCAAGGATAGAAAATTAGGAGATGCATGTGTTGTTATCACTTTAATATTGCCTAATTGGTTGCCAGAATATTGAGGAGTTGCAACATTATTGGATCCTTACCTGAGTATCTTGGAAACTTGACTACTTTGCAAGTATTGTAAGTGCTGATTTTGTTTTCCTTCCCTTTAATATATCTTTTCTATGATAAATCTTGATATTTTTTCTAGCGGTATTTTAGTATATTTAGAACTTTGTAAAATTCTTGTATTTTACGCTCATTGAATTGATGAAGAACTTCAACATACTTGTTTCATTCACTGTATTATAGAGCTATATTTAATGTTTCTTTACTTTAATTTTCCTCTTAGAAAAGAACATATTCTGACTATAATTTCTTTTCCAGAGACCTTAGCTACAACAAATTAAGTGGACCAATTCCGATCAGTTTTGCTGGCTTTCAAGGCTTGGATACTCTGTAAGAAATTTTCTTTAGTTTTCCTATACGATTAAACCAAAATAACCTCATACATTTCCGAGTAGCTAGATAGTGCTATTTTATTTCGTTTGATTGTCTTCAATTTTAGTTTGAAAATGTTAAAAGTTCAAATTGAGTTATTTCCGGTGCGCAAACAGTATGATGGCATGAATTTGCTAACTACGAATCTGTTTGCTCAACTAAAGACTTTAACTGATTGGTTTTTCTGTAGTTCTTTTTTATTTGGAATGCACCCATACATCTGTGATTTGATTTTCCTTGAATGTTTAGATAATGTATTTAAACCTTTGAAAGAAACATTTTTTCCATCAGATAATTATTTTTTTTATTTTCTTTTGAGGGAAAAAGCAATAGAAAATGAGGTTGTTTTCGAGTTGTTGTGGTGCCTAAATGTTGTTTTATGCAATGCATGTTGGAAGGTTGCTAGTTTTCAGGTAGATTAGACCAAAAATTGGGTTTTACATAAGTGCAAATTTGATACCACATTGGGCGCGCCCTCACACTGTCGACGTGACTCCAAGAGGGGTCTTTGTGTTACATACATCGAGCGTAGAATTGGTAGCATCGGATGTGAGGAGAGAAAAATATTTTGGGTTGGAATCATGTGAAGCATAGTTGAATGGCGTTAGACATGGGCGAGATGGGGAGTCCCCTGCCTTAATAGTGTCGAGCATCATGAGAGTAGCGTCGAGCACAGGTTGCATGGGTTTCTATGAGATATTTTGTAATGCCTAATTATAAGATATTAAATATAATACTAAATTTATATATATCTTTATAATATATGAACGCAATTAAAGAATTTAATAATATTTTACATAAATTCAAAGTAGATTTTGTGATCTTATGTACATATAGTTAGATTTTATTTACATCACGTATTATTCTAAAATATTTATAATAATGTACTTATTTACAAACTATTTATTTCTCACACTTCTACTACAATATTTACATATTAGGTTGATACAGGTTTACTATTGGGTTAATGTGATTGGCTAGAGGTAGATAGAAAGTAACTATTATTTGATCATCTATAATAATAAGGTTTTGCTGGGTTGGTGAAAATACAAATGATGATATTCCTATGCCTTGAAAGGTAATGACATTTACAGTTGCGTCCATACCCCGACTAGTACCCGAAAAAATGGTAGTGATAACGGAAGTGAAACAGTCTAGTATGGTTGACAGATCCATCTATTTTTCATTATAATTAATTAAATTTTTAAACAAAGAAAAATAAGGAGTGAGAACAATTATCCAATAGATATCAATAATTAAACAAAATGCATAGAAATAATTTTAACTAATACCAAATGAATATATTAATCCTTCTTGATATAATAAAAATTTGAATCATATGCTTGTAATGACTAGTTAGGATAAATGAGCATTATAATAACAAATAATAAAAGATTATTTCACCTTAAGTTTTTTTTACTCATTTAAATTCCCAAGATCAAACTTCCAACTACAAATTAATTCAAACTTTCATTCTTATGGTCATAAAATAACATTTATCTTTATAATATATAAAAAATAAGCTTAGGATATTTTAACAAAACTATATTATAGTTAGTATTAATATAAAAATAATTAAGCTAAATAAGTTTGAATATTTTTAATTATTTAAAATTAAATATAATATAGTTTACAAAAAAGGAATGTATTAAAGAATATTAATGTAATAGATGACAACGATAATCACCATAAAATAATTAAACAACATAAACTAGGAATATCTCATTAATTATTAAGAGTAAAATATCATAAATTAAGCAAATAAATGAAGTTAGAGACACCTCACTAAGTAAATACATGTAGATATAGCATAAAACAAACAAACATAATAGTATATAAAATTTAAAAGGATAAAAGTCTCCTTCCCCTTACCTTAGTGTAAAAACTGAGTAAAAATTTATCTTCCTCTCGTTATTACTCTTTCTCCTTTCTTCTTCCTTTCTCTCACGATTTTCACTCTTTCTCTTTTTTCTTTTTTTTCTACTGCTTCCATATCTATTTATAGACAAAGGGGTAATCATTACATAGTTGGCATTGAATCAATTTTTCAAGTCTTTTCATTTGGTTCCCAATCAAGTATTACATAGAGATAAGTTTAGTTGATTTAATTTATTAGCAGCAAATGGATAATAGCATAGGGAATAATCAACAAAAGGGTGTTAGTAAGATTATGTAGAGATGGATAATAGCATAGGAAATAATCAGCAAAGGGCCAGTAAGATAAAATCATGGTAGGACTTGAACATGATAGGACTTGGCATAGGAAATAATCAACAAAGGTTAGTAAGTAACTCATCCGTTCATTTAATGCATTTTTTATTATTATTGTTATTATTATTTTTAAGACAAAATCATTTGTTCATTTAATGCATTTATTATTATTATTTTGACTAAATATCTAATTTGGTCCCTTATAATATTTTAAAGTTTAATTTAGTTTCACTTTAATTTTTGGTTTCAATTTGGTCCCTAATAACTTAAATTACTGCAATGTCGGACTTTCGTCCAAATTTCTTAAATGGAGTTAACTGTTGGCCACGTAGATGCCACGTAGATGCATAGGTGGCAAGGTCTCATTCGTATGTTGTTGTCCTCCTCCTCCTTCTTCTTTAATGCATCTGGAACGGCCCGTTCTGAAATCAGAACGACTCATTCTGGTTGCACTCCTTGTGTGTAAATTTTGCATCTGGAACGGCCCGTTCTAGATGCAAAATTAACACACAAGGAGTGCAAGCAGAACAGGCCGTTCTGGTTCCAGAATGCCAACCACAAACGGTCAATGATTATAGTTCATGCCTGTGATTCTAAATCACAATTGTGAATCGTGCAAGGAAAAAAATCCAAGGTACAAAGCATTTCAATGGTGGCAGGTTTTATTTCATTGTTAGTCAAACTGGAGTGAACCACTTACTACCAAATCGACACTATACAGTCAAGGATAAAATGACATGGTGTTTCCCCTTGGAGTCATTGACCGATGTACCCCAACAACAACAACTTGTTATTGAGGAGGTACAACCTAAACTTTGTTTCCTAGGAATGTCTTTCAAATAGATTTTCTCGCAAAATTGTTTCCCGCGGAGGAAGGGGGTGGAATCTAAAATTCCTATGTTAAAAGAAATATCTTATTGTGACTTTTCCTTTATTTACTTATTTAATGTAGTTAAAATCTTTGATCCCCAAGTATTATATATGAATATTCTTAAGAATCATTTATAACCAACTAAGCATTTTAATTATTTATAAGAATCACAATTTCCGGAATTTTTATTCTCAAGAATCATGATTTTCGAGCATGAAAAAATTTTCCTTCTACCAACCCCTTCCCCCTAAATTTTAACTAGTTTTATATGGGTTATGATGTGTGCTGATTTGTTACCCCTACCTCACCCACATTCCTTTTTTTTATTTTATTTTTTCAGAGGAAATATTTCATGTTTGTCAAACATTCGGTGTCCGAAAAGTAAGTTGTTTATCTTGGACTTCACTATAGTATTGATTGTTAATTATTATTTTGACATTAAGAGCTGATGGTTTTTAATGTATTTATAACTTTTTTAGTTAGGGATACAGTGGAAAAGGGATAACTATCCTTATACTAGATTTGCATATTTTTATTCAAATAAAGTTGTAGGATACCAAGATCCTTTTTGGATAAACTTCTCTAAAAATACTTATAGGAGAAAAAATATAAGAAGGAAAAATAAAATAAACTTTTATAGAAGTTAAAATTAGTTTATACACAAGTTAAAAATAATTTTTAAAGAAGCTAGTATAGGAAAGCTTCTAAAAATTAGCTTATGCATAAGTAAGTTTTAACTTATAGAGTAGCTAATTTCATTTTTTCTTATATTTTTCTCCTATAAGTATTTTTGGAGAAGTTTATTCAAACAAGCCCTAAACCTAATTGATAAGTTAATATGTTGATAGAAAGCCAACAAAATGGAATATTATCCTAAATAAAGCCTGAGCCTTGGTGCTTCAAGTTAATCGATTGTGGTGGTTCCAGCAAGAAAGGTTGCTGGAAAATTTTCCAGTGACAATGGTGGTTTGCTGGATTAAGGTTACCAAAAGATGGAGATAGTAATGGTGGTGGTGGAGCAGGAAGTGTATGCTAAAGGCCTTCCAAATTGGAGAAAACTGCTTTGACGGAGAGAAAACTACTACAAGTGGTGACAAAAATGACGGTATGGGCAGTGGTATTGGTGACAAAAAATGAGGAAGATCAAACGGCTACATAGAACAAGAGAGCAAAGTTGCTGAAAAGTAGAATGGTTCTATAATTTTGGAATGTGGCAGTATAACTATGACAGGACAAATCAGGATGAATGATACTGCTTTGATACTAGGTTGAATTTAGAGGGGGAGATTTAAGAGAATGAAAAGCTTTCTTATGCCAGAAAATATAGCACATA